TACAAACATGTATTTAATCAAGCATAAATACACAGTAAATGCATGTATTTACACAATAAGTACATTGTAACAAACTTTAATTCCTATGTAAGTACATATTAGTTAAGGCCACTTAATATAAAGTGGGACCCACACGGACGTTCATTTATAATGCTACACTTTGTTTTACAGTAGGTGAGAGTTCAATGTGACCATTACCGCCACGTGATCTACCGCCGCCGCTTTAAAGGGAAAAGAACGTGTTTTTTTTTTTTAGGTATGACCACAGTTTGCGAGTATGCCGCCAGGTGGCATAAAGGGACAGGATGCTAACGGACAGAAATAGTCTATACATTAGCTGTAAATACTCTGCTACTTGTAAATAAAGATAAACAATGAAACAAAACAAGTCCATTAATCATTAAAAAGACAACTAGGCTACATTATTTAAAGGAATAAATAATAACAAATAACCTTTGGGGTGAAGTGCGTATACATCTGCTATATTCAGCACCAAAACACCAGTTGCCATGAGATTGTGTTGGTTTGTTCAATAAGATAATAATAATCTAGCCTAAATAAAATGAACGTGCAATATTCACCATTTCATAGACGCCTATAATAACTGAAGGAAGGATATTGCTGGTTACAGTTTGACACAGAGAAGTTGACAAACCAGCGCTGTTGCTGTTCGCCTCTGTGCTGCCTGGGGCAGTGTCATAAACGCAACAAATAGGCAATTGGTGATTTAATGTAGGCTACAACCAACAAACCAACCTTTTTCCATTTGGAAAATTGCAGTTACTAATAGTTCTTATATAATATACATTTCCAATAGCCTAATCTACGGATCAAACTAATCCAAAGTTTTATTTTGATGTTTGCATAATAATAACTTCGCACCAAACTAAGGCTTTGCATCAACTTACAAAGAAACAAATGAACGTTTATATGTGGGGTCTGTCATGCAGTGTCTATTGGGTTAGGACAGTAAACTTAACATTTTTTTTCTGGCTGCAGTTATCATTCTCACACTATTTTATTCCTTTTTCTGAATAAATAACGTGTCTTCAAAACACCATTGTTGAGTTTTTCTTTTATTATTTCAGCAAATAGGATTGCAACAAAACCTGTTTATTGTACTCTCCCATTCACTGCGTTCTAAGTCTACCTACTATGGCAGTGGTCACCAAACTTGTTCCTGGAGGGCCGGTGTCCTGCACATTTTAGCTCCAACCCTAATCAAACACACCTGAACAAGCTAATCAAGGTCTTGCTAGGTATACTTGAAACATCCAGGCAGGTGTGCTGAGGCAAGTTGGAGCTAAACCCTGCAGGGACACTGGCCCTCCAGGACCGAGATTGGTGACCCCTGTACTATGGCAACCAGTGGCGCCTGCAGGCGTACGGCTGTACGAATTAATGCCGCTTTTTTTATTACATGATTTAAATTGATTTTAAACGGTATACACTACGATATATTGACAAAGCAAGAAATAATGACAACAAATAAAGGTGTGTGTTTTAAAGTGTGTATGTACTAGAGATGCGCAGATGGCGGTTACAGCCGCGGAATTCGCGGATAAACCGCGGATCGGGCGGATGACGTGACGAAAAATAATATTTTAATTAAATTCGGGCGGGTGGTGGGCGGTTGTACTGTTTTTGTTCACATAGCTGGCAGGGGCGCCCCCAAGGGGTGGACAGGGGTGGCCACGGCCACCCTTGTGTAAACTCTGGCCACCCCTGTGGCCACCCCAATATGATAGTTGCTGATATTATTAATTTAAATGTATTTACTTAAATTCACAATACTTCAATAAATAAATGAATAAATAAAATGCAGCCACTAAATTATTGTGGATTGATCAGCGCCACGGACGAAGCTGATTCACTGAGATTGCACACTTTTTATTAAGAAATTATTATTTTTGAAATGAGAAAGTTGTGTTTCATCTGATTAAAAACCACAAATCCAAAATAAATAACTAGATACATTTTGAAATCTGCTTTTCAAAATTTTGTTGGGTTTTGTTTGGTTTAATAATTCATTAATTAATCATATTCATTATTCATAATTCATTAATGTTAGACATGGCATATATTGTATGTTGTACAAGAAATAACTTACCTGAAAGAGGTTTTAGACTAAATATTGATTTTTATTTGGTTTGCACTTGTACTTGCGGAATAAATTACAATATTTCAAGAGTAATAATTGTAATTCATTAAAACTTCATTATTTATTTTACCAAAAACTAAAATATAACATTACTCCTTATTCACAATATATACACAATTCATAACTTTTTTGTGTGCCGCCACAAGATTTGTTGTGGCCTTACTTGGCCACCCCTAAGAAAATTTTCTGGGGGCGCCACTGATAGCTGGCGCACCAACGAAAAAGCCTAGGACTGACTTCAAAGAATGAGAGGAGGAATCGGATACACTAATTCTGGATAAAGTACCGAAGTCTTCCTTTACAAAATTAAGAATAGACGGATCAGCAGAGGAAAATCTACCTTCCTTTTGGGAGAACAAGGCAGTCATTCCCACGACTACAGCACCTTGCCAAGAGAATTCTATGCATTCCAGCAACAAGTGCTGCGAGCGAGCGCTCCTTCAGTGCAGCAGGGCGCATTAGAGGCCAGGCGCTCTCGTCTGAATGTTGAAATGATGTGTCAATGTGTTTTCTATTAGGCTACTATAATAAAAACTGTACAGTACAGTGCGTTTCATTTAGGCTATTTATTTATTTATTTTTGTCCCTGTGCACCGATTGGAGACGGAGTTCACTGCTGATATTCTGAGAGCTTTATAGGGTGCTTCTCATTTCTTATTTGTGTATCCTCGTTTCCTTCCCTTGCTTTCTTTCCTCGTTTTTCCACCCCTATACGATGCGAGGGAAGGACGCAAGGAAAAGACTCAAGGACCGAGGAATGGAATCAAGTGAAAAGACACGTCCTCGTATTGTTTAGCGTCACTTCAAAGTGTCAATTAATGCTGGATTTGACTTGCACGTCTGGATTAACTGCATGTCATTAAAGTCATTCTCTATTTTCTAATAATCAATAAAGAAACATTCATTTAATAATAAAAAGGAATAAGCCATTCGAATAAAGAGCTCAGTCAGCAGATGGCGGGCGGGTGCGGTTTTAAAAATTGGTCAAAAATGTTAGTGCGGATGGATGGCGGACGGATGATGAGTTTTGTGATGCGGTTGTGGATGAAATAATAGCCCATCCGCGCATCTCTAGTATGTACTTGTGCATGGTTGGAGTGGGGTAAAGAAATCTATTGTCTTTAGTTTTACTGGCGGTTTTTCTGCACCTAAAAATCACCATTCAGATATTGTTTAAAACAAGGTTATAACGAGTAAACGCTCTTTAAAACATCTAAACTTAATTGAGACATTTGCCAAAAGGCCTAAAACTAATGAGACAAATACTGATCCTCACACGAGGTAAAGACCGCAGTCTCATTATCAGCACCTGAGCCGGGGAACCTGTCTCGTTCATCAGACAGATCAGATCCAGCTGCTGCGCGGCCTCCTCGCATGGAACAGCAATACCAGGTGTCACCAACCCTGTTCCTGGAGAGCTACCTTCCTGCAGAATTCAGTCCCAACCCTGATCAAACACATCTGAACCAATTAATAGTACCTAAAGCAGCACTTGATAATTACAAACAGGTGTGTTTGGTCAGGGTTGCAACTACAATCTGCAGGAAGGTAGCTCTCCAGGAACAGGGTTGGTGACCCCTGAGCTATACCATTCAAGGTGTTTTAAATAATTTTATCTGACAGACCAACACAATCTCACGGCAATTCGTAAATTTTTGCATTTAGTGGCTAATTCGTACGAATTCGTACGATCTAATTCGTACATTTTAGTACGATTTCCTCATCCCCCAATGACGGTTGGGTTTAGGGGTGGGGTTAGGTGCCACGCCTCCTTTTTAAAATCGTACAATTTCTTACGACTGAACTCCTACGAATTTGTACGAATTAGCCACTAAACTGCCTAAACGTAAAATACTTACGTTTTCTCGTGAGATCAGGCTGGACAGACTGACATAAATGAGCAGACATCTCCATTCTCACGAGTTCTGAATTGTCTCACACTTAACCGAGTTTGTTCCACCAAGGTAAATGTTCAGTGCTGTTGCGAATATGCGAATTTGTAAACATCTGTCCTGCTCTTTCAAATTGTTTGATTAAATTAATTAAATTGTTTTTGACCGGCACAACATGGGAAAACAGTTTAATTAAGGCTTCTCTGAAACGGAACATGTTAATTTAATTTAGCCTAGATTATTATTTTGACAGTTCAGTTCGTGTTTCGGCATTGTTAAAGCATATTGCGGGTTTTGAAGCACTTCACTTTAAATGTTATTGGTTCTTCTATTTTATCTAGAAGATAACTGACCAAGAAAAATATTTGAACAAACAGACAAACGATATACGAAATTGGTTTTAAAAAGACATTTTTTCCAAGAAAAATAAACAAATTTTATTTTTGTTTGAGCCCGTCCACTACCCAACTTTGCGGGTGGATGATTTTCGGTCAGTGGAAAGTAAGGATTTAATTAATGCTTCACTAACTGTATTTTATCACAATTTTCTGTCATATATTGGCAAATTTTTGTCATAATTTTAAAGATTACGTCTTGAACGTCTGACTTTTCATTGGTGCTTATGTGCTTTTATTACATTTAGATTTCAGCAAAATATTAAAATTAAAAAGGAAACAAGTTATGTCATAACGAATGCCCTTGAATAAAGCAGCCTTCGACAGCAAGCATCAGTGTTTCTTGACATGATTGGCGGAAGGGGGCGGGGCGGTGCTGAATTTGTGCGTACCTTGGAATAAAATCCTGCAGGCGACCCTGATGGCAACTATATAGTATATAACTGCATGTTAACTATGTTTATATATAATAACTTTTGAGTTTATTGTAGGGTCATCAGTAGTTAAGTGTGAGTTCTGGTGCTAATCTTCGGCTGTTTTCTGCCTTTTCAGAACTGCTTACAGACCAACAGTCAGAGATCTGGACTACAGGGTTCTGCTCCGATTCCCGCAGAAGGTGCGAAACATGGGAACGGCGGACTTTCTGCCCGTCAAACCCAGGCATCAGTGGGAGTGGCACAGCTGCCATCAGTGAGTCTTTGAGATGTAAAATAAGCCTTTTGTGTCTCCACAATGTGTCTGTGAAGCTCAAAACTCACGGTGGTGCAGTGGGTAGCATAATCGCCTCACGGAAAGAAGGTCGCTGGTTTGAGCCCCAGCTGGGTCAGTTGGCATTTCTGTGTGGAGTTTGCATGTTCTCCCCGTGTTGGCATGGTTTTCCTCCGGGTGCTCCAGTTTCCCCCACAGTCCAAACACATGCGCACCGGGCCACCGTGCCACCCATCTAGAAAAGGAGGAGGAGTAGGGGTGGAAGAGGGGATTCTTTAAAACGAAGATGGCTGTGATATGGAACTGAGGGTATTTAATCGTCTGATTGGTGAATAATTAATTGAATAATGCGGGACCGACCGCAAGCAATCATAAGCACATGATCCTCTCGAAATTAGTTTATAAATAAACTTCACTAATTAGGTTTAAATTAGGGTAATTAGGCAATTCTTTGTATAACAGTGGTTTGTTCTGTAGACTATTCAAAACAAATATTGCTTAAGGGGCTAGTAATATTGACCTTAAAATTATTTTAGAAAATGTAAAACTACTTTTATTGTAGCCGAAATCAAACAAATTGTCAGGGTTCTGCCACTCTGGTCATGTACATTCTTGTTTTGGTGGCAGAATCCGGACACTAGCCCTGTCTAGTCCTGTCCTGTTGTGCTCAGCTTGAGTTTTCTAGGGTTGAGCACTTGTTTCTGTCATTGTGTCTGTCTCTGGTTGCGCGCGCCGTTGTGGATGTGTGCAGAGCGGGCATGCTCCTGCTTAATGCGGCTGCGTGGGCTCTGCGTGTCTCTGAAGCGCGCTCTTGTACTCGTGTTTTGTTCTGTCAGCATCGAACTGTTTCATTCTCATCGTCTCTGTCAAGTTGGTTTCGGTTTTGGTTGACGCTAATATGAAGCATGCGCGTTGCATATGTGTGAGCGCACAGTAAGGTGTTTATCGTGTGCTCATGTCTTGCGTTTTTTGTCAAAGCACGTGGCTCTCTGTTTACATTTTGGTCACATGCTTTTGTCGTGTGCTTCAGTGTTGTGCTTGTGTTGTCATGAACATGCGGTTAATGAGTTCTCTCATTGGCTGCATGTTCTTGTCCCGGGGTCCGTTCTTCGTACCTCGCTTAAATGATCTAAGATGATTTGGCAGATCCTGGATCTTTTAATCTCGATAACTGATCTCTCTCTAATTTGGTTCTTCAAACGAGTTTGCGAATCAGATTAGAATGTCTGGATAAACTGATCTGAGATCGCTGTGTGTGTTGTGAAGGACAGATTTATCGATCCTCGAAATCATGATCAGCAATGCAACGATTGGCTGACGGCACAGCAGCGTAATGACATCATCTGATTAATATGCAATTATCCATGTGAGCAAAATTACATCAAATTAGCAGTAAACGGTTTGTTAGATATGACACGCAATAACCTTCCACATTTGTTGTGAGCTGCAGGCTTTACACTTTCATGTGTCAAGAGTATTCATCATGTATTTCAATGCATATCAGTGTATTTAGTTCTACATTTAGAAAATATTTTCTTTATTATAGTAGCCGTTTTTTAATCGGTGTAAAGAATAACTGGTTGTTTACAACAGCGTTTTCATATTGGAAAAGGCGTCTGCAACTTTTGTGAAGCATCAAATCACCGGCATATTAACTATCATAACATGTTTATGACTGCATAAATGTATTATTGCTTTTAAAAAAGTCACATATTGTGCATTTCTATTATACACAATTTGTACTATAGCAATCTAAAAAGTTCATATCAATAAGTTTTCTCTTTGCACCACCAGGTGGCAGTCTTTGTACTTTCATTTCGAGAGTGCAGATTGCATAAGTTTTATTAATATGTATAACTTTATTTATTTTATTAATAACTATAACTTTATATATATATATAGTTAAAAAATATGTACCATTTTCCCAAGTGTATATAACTACTACTGTAAGAAAATATCAGAATTCGGAACATACTTTCTGTATTATCTTTGCTTGAACTGAGCCGATCTAATCCTGTTTATATGAATTGAACCTGCTCCCGATCAGGTTTGACCTAGCAGAACTGTTGCTATGACAACAACTCTCGGATCAGCTTTGAAGAACGAAACGATCTTGAATCGTGTCAAATCGTCAATATCCAAATCCAGCTAACTGAGTAATCCACGTACGAAGAACGGACCCCTGTTTTATGTGAGCGCATGGCTTGTGTTGTCTCTGTGTCATGCGTCCCACCCTCCTGGTTACCCCATTATTAGTTAATTATGTTCATCTGTTTGTGTTAATTTACGTCTGCTTATAATTCCCTCTTGTCTGCTGTTCTGGGCCAGTTCGCCATCATATGTCTTCGTTTGTAGCCTTGTCCTGTCTGTCCAGCCCTGTTCCTTACCAGCCAGCCCAGTGAAGTTTGTTTGTGTGTTTTGTTAATGTTTTCCCCCTCGTGGTAGTTTGTTTTGCATTTTATTTTATTTTATTTTTACCATTAATAAATACCCATTTCTCTGCACTTGAGTCCTCGCTCCCTTTTTCCCCAACCCAAGCCGTGACACAAATAAGACTTTTCCAGAAGAAAAATATTCTCAGACGTACTGTGAAAAATTCCTGACTCTGTCAAACATCATTTAAGAAATATTTACAAAAAAAATTCATAGGAGGGTGAATAATTCTGACTTCAACTATATGTATAATTAAAAAAATTGCTTGTAAAATGTATTTAATTCAGCCATGAGTAATCAAGAGTGGTGCATCATTATAATGAGTTGAACTAATGTTGTGTAACTATGAGTGTCAGGGTTGTGTTTGTGATGAGGCTGGTGTTTATTCCACAGGCATTATCACAGCATGGACGCGTTCAGTCACTATGATCTGCTGGACATCAGCACTGGACGGAAGGTTGCAGAAGGACACAAGGCCAGTTTCTGTCTGGAAGACACAGGCTGTGATCCTGGCTTTCACCGCAGATACGCCTGCACCGCACACACACAGGTACACACACACACACATTTACTGTCATTCATTCATTTTCCTTTGGCTTAGTCTTTTGTTTATCAGGGATCGCCACAGTGGAATGTTCTTCATAAGTAATGTATTGGGTGGCACAGTGGCTCAGTGGTTAGCACTGTGGCCTCATAGCAAGAAGATCACTGGTTCAAATCCCATCTGGACCAGTTGACATTTCTGTGTGGAGTTTGCATGTTCTCCCCGTGTTGCTGTGGGTTTCCTCTGGGTGCTCCGGTTTTCAAACACATGCGCTATATTGGAACTGAATAAGCTAAACTGTCTGTAGTTTATGTGTGTGAATGAGAGTGTATGGGTGTTTCCCAGTACTGGGTTGCATCCACTTTGTAAAACATATGCTGGATAAGTTGGTGGTTCATTCTGACCCCTGATGAATAAGGGACTAAGCTAAAGGAAAATACATAAATTAATAATGTATTTTTAAATATTTGGGCCGCAAAACAAAATTATAAAAACTTTTTACATTTATTAAATATTTTACAATTTTAGTTATTTATTTTGAGTTTTAATTTTATTTTATTTTTACTTGTAGCGACGCTACTGCCCAACACTATATATATATATATATATATATATATATATATATGTATGTATGTATGTATGTATGTATATATATATATATATATATATATATATATATATATATATAACTTAGCTACATTTCTCAGTAGTGTGGCAGTAGCGTCGCTTCTTTCTAAAACAAATAGCTTTTCTGTAGCGAAGCTATTTTATTAGTCAAGTAGCGCAATAGCATCCACAAACCTACATTTACTAATCGCGGAAGAATAAGTGACAGCACCGACATTCACACAGTTGTGAGGCCGTTTTCTAGGCGATGAAAGTAAATCCATATGATAGCTAGAACGACAGTTTTCAAATTAGGCTAACATGAGAAACTTGCTTGATGGAAAGATGAAGGGAGAGGAGTTATTTCTGAAGCAGGATTCCTCGTGACCATACCTCAAGAAGTACGTTAAGATGCAATAACTTAATTTCTGTTGCTGTGCTCAAAAATACCTTAGTAATTTATAGTAAGTACTACTATAAATTACTGCATTATGTTGTGTAATTTATTAATAAAGAGTTGTAAATATATATACAATATGCATAATGCTTATGTCAAAATATTTCTCTTCACTATGACTAACTATATAATTTTTTAAATGTGTAAGCTTTTATTGTATTTTTTTGTTTTAGCTGTTATATACTACAATGTATTTCTGTTTAGTACAGCATATATTATTAACAGTAAATAATTGAACTGAACTAATGTGCCTCATATGTTTCATTGGCAGTTTTATTGATCTCTAAGATATGATTGACTTGGATTTCAGTTGCAACGATTTAAAAATAAAAATTGCAAAAATAGCTTAGATGTAGCTAAGCTACTTTTGCCAAGTAGCTTTTAGCTTAGCTTGCTACATTTTCCAGGGAGTAGCTTTTAGTGTAGTTAAGCTACATTTTAAGTAGAGTAGCTAATAGCTTAACTCACTACATTTTTCAAGTAGCTTGCCCAACACTGTATGTGTATATATATATAGCAGTTCAGCAGTTCACTTTCATTCAGTAGCATATTGTTCATGCCCCGTGACAATTATTGGATGAAAATATAAAGTAAGGATTGCTGGAAGAGTGTTGTGTGAGTGGAATTTGATACCACATGGCGAACGGAAAGAAAAACCTCCGCATTTTGTGACTTGGGTGGTCCTTTAAGGTAATCAAAAGTCACTGTTTACACGGTAGACTCTTAATCAGAGTATTTTCTTAATCATAAAATCGGAGTATTAGTGTCCATGTAAATGTACTCAGAAAGTGCCAGATGAAGTCGCGAGCTGTCAAAGACAGCACATTCCTCTGCCATTAAGTTGAGTCCATGCGCCCTCAAATGTGTCATTAAGTTTGACGTGTTTCCCACTTACACGCAACTTTTGTAAAGCGTCTGCTTCACGTTGATTTATCAGAATCCTTGTAAAATTCAGCCATACTTCAGAACGTTTAGTTTATGCAAATTTGATAAACGCGGTCATGCGTGTTGATGAATCTGAAGGGAGTCGCTCAGTGGGTGCGCTGTACTGCACGCGTTTTCTGTGTGTGTGTGTGTGTGTGCGTGTGTGTGTGTGTGTGTGTGTGTTTACTAGCAACAAGAGCCAACGCCTGACATCGCTGACTGTCAAAAGTCTCTTTAAGGCATTCTGTATGTATTGCATAGTCTTTGCAGTGTCCGTATTTCCCAAAGCTGTTTAGAATTAAATGTTTAGAGATGGTGTGACCAGTCCCTGTAAAAAGTCTATAGTCTTTGGTACGTGCCTTTTATGTACCCCTTGACCACATTGTTCCCCGATAATGTCAACAGACTGGACTGTCTTAGCAACTGGCAAAATGTAAAGGAGGACTAAGCAAAATTGTTTCTACTTTATAATTAATGTTTTAAACTCACAATACCAATTTACAGTGAGTGCAATTGTTTGTATTCAATACTTTATTATTATTATAATTTTCCATATCTGCAATGCCTGTATTTTGGCATTTTTTTGCATTCCACTAAAAAATCCAACATGGAAATCAATGTTTTCTTTATTGGCATTGATTGTTTTGAAATTTAAATGGCATTAACATGCCTGTGTTTTAATTTCTGCAATAAATATGGCTGTCAGGCCAGGATCTTGGTGGTTTATTGTGGGTATGAGGTTTAGATGAAGAAATCTGTGTCACAAGTTAAACAAAAATTGTAATAATCAATTACATTTTAAATTTAAATAGTTTTTTTTCTTGCGTTTACATTAATTTTACATTTGAATAGGCAAAATTACAAGTTTCAGTCTATTAAATGGGATTAATCGTGATTAATTTTCAAAAAAAGGTGCGGCTAATTAGTTAATTTTATAAATATGCTCTGTGCCACAGCACATGGTCTAACAGGGTTGAGCTTATTCTCTTAATGAGTTCTGGGTGTGTTTTGAGCATAAATTGCATTAAACCTATCAGAGTCTAATCTCACATTCCCTTTAAAAGTCAGTTGCATTGTGCCATGGCCCATCTCCTATTTACATGGTGATTTGTAAGTGGAAAAACTGAACCCTTCACCAGCGAGAAAACAGTCAAACAGAGCATCTGCAGCGCGAGGATAAAGAATGAGCCTCCTCCATTCAGCCTCTTTATTTTCCCTTTACTTTTACGTTTTACTCTTTACTCTTTTACTTTGTTGGAGTGAGGAAAATGTGGAAGCTCAATCCACTGGAGACGTCCTTTAGCCTACATATTTAATTTCGTTTGTTAAGCGCAAAGATTTGTTTCAGAACTTTTTCTAAATTCAGACCAACAATGCGCCTCCACACACCTCCTTTCTAAACCATAAGTCCTCAAAGCAGTGCAAATGGATTTGTTATTTAAACAACGTGGTGCAAAACAAGAAAATTAGAGATGCGCTAGTCTGGAAAAGCATCAAATCACGTCTTTCACCTTATGTAAGATAGGACCCCTAAATGTATTTCCTATTTTCATTTGTCCTCTGATAATCCTCCATGAGACAGTTCTATTCTCATCACACATTTTATGTTTTGGTTTGTTATAAATATTATTGCTCTGTTTTCAGGGTTTGAGTCCAGGCTGCCATGACACATACGCTGCCAACATCGACTGTCAGTGGATCGACATCACAGATGTCCCGCCTGGAAACTACTTTCTCAAGGTGCCACAAAATGATTTTTGAGCATCCTGACAAACATAAATAGCATTCACAGCCACACATTTTCACCCTTTCCTCTTCAGATGCACAAGACACTTTCTTATGAACACTCTATGTTAGGACACAATAGGTTGCATGTAATGAAAAAAATTTACTATAAATAGAATAGATCTCAAACTTCGTGACAGAGAAGCAAAACATTAGTAATTTATTTTATTTTTTTGTAATACAGTTAGCGGGAGAACCAGAGAGGCAATTGCAGATTAGGAAGGAAAGTGGAGACTGAACAGTTGAGTTTTTAGTCGTTTCTTGAAGACAGCGAGTGACTCTGCCGTTCTGATGCCACCAACTGGGCAGATTGAGCGCGAAAGTTATTTCTTCCCTCTTTGGGATGGAACCACGAGGCGACGTTCATTCACAGAACGCAAGTTTCTGGAGGGCACATAGATCTGCAGAAGTGGGAGCAGATAAGAAGGAGCAAAGCCAGAAGTCACTTTGTAAGCAAACATCAGAGCTTTGAATTTGATGCGAGCAGCAACTGGCAGCCAGTGCAAATGGATGAGCAGCGGAGTGACATGTGCTCGTTTAGGTTCATTGAAGACCACTCGTGCTGCTGCGTTCTGGAGCAGCTGAAGAGGTTTGATAGAGTTAGCTGGAAGCCCGGCTAGTAGAGAGTTGCAGTTATCCAGTTTAAAGAGAACAAGAGCTTGAACAAGGAGTTGAGCTGCATGTTCAGATAGGAAGAGTCGGACCAACATTTACATTTACATTTACATTTAGTCATTTAGCAGACGTTTTTATCCAAAGCGACTTACAAATGAGGACAAGTAAGCAATTTACACAACTAAGAGCAACAATGAATAAGTGCTATAGGCAAGTTTCAGGTCTGTAAAGTCTAAGAAGGGAAGTATTAGTAGTATTAGTATATATATATATATATATATATATATATATATATATATATATATATATTTTTTTTTTTTTTTTTTTTTTTTTTTTTTTTTTTTTTTTTTTTTGGGTACAGTTAGTGTGATATTCAGAGAGGCAATTGCAGATTAGGAAGGGAAGTGGAGAGTCAATAGTTGAGTTTTTAGTGGTTTCTTGAAGACAGTGAGTGACTCTGCCGTTCGGATGCAGTTAGGGAGTTCATTCCACCAACTGGGCAGATTGAGCGTGAGCATGAGCGAAAGTGATTTCTTCCCTCTTTGGGATGGAACCACAAGGCGACGTTCATTCACAGAACGCAAGTTTCTGGAGGGCACATAGATCTGCAGAAGTGAGAGCAGATAAGAAGAAGCAAAGCCAGAAGTCACTTTGTAGGCAAACATCAGAGCTTTGAATTTGATGCGAGCAGCAACTGGCAGCCAGTGCAAACGGATGAGCAGCGGAGTGACATGTGCTCTTTTAGGTTCATTAAAGACCACTCGTGCTGCTGCATTCTGGAGCAGTTGAAGAGGCTTGATAGAGTTAGCTGGAAGCCCGGCTAGTAGAGAGTTGCAGTAATCCAGTCTGGAGAGAACAAGAGCTTGAACAAGGAGTTGAGCTGCATGTTCAGATAGGAAGGGTCGGATCTTTCTGATGTTGTAGAGTGCGAATCTGCACGATCGAGCAGTTCTAGAAATGTGGTCAGAGAAGTTTAGTTGGTCATCAATCGTTACTCCAAGGCTTTTCACCATTTTGAATGCAGTAATGGTTGCCCCGTCCATCTGGATTGAAAAGTTATGGTGTAGAGTCGGATTGGCAGAAACTTCAAACATTTCCGTTTTCGCGAGGTTCAGCTGAAGATGATAATCTTTCATCCAGTGTGAAATATCCAACAGGCAGGCTGAGATGCGAGCCGGGACCGAGGGATCATCAGGGTGAAAAGAGAGGTATAGCTGGGTATCATCAGCATAGCAGTGGTAGGAGAATCCATGTTTCTGGATGACTGATCCTAAAGATGTTGTGTAGATGGAGAAGAGAAGTGGCCCAGCAGATATAAACAATCTGGGTGGCACGGTGGCTCAGTGGTAAGTGCTGTGGCCTCAAAGCAAAAAGGCCACTGAGTCCAAGCTGGGCTCCGCTTTTAATATTATTTATAAACTGTATTTTATTTTCTGACTGCATTGACTGATATTTTGTCTTGTTTTTAGCACAAACTCTCTCTCAATGTATTCATTTTATTTTGAATGTAGTGTAATAACATGTTCCTCTTGTGAAGCTACTGTGGATCAATAGTGATTGTGAAAAGCCCTTTACTGATAATCTTGAATTGAACTGTACTGAATTTTCAGGTGACGGTGAATCCGGATTTCCTGGTGGCCGAGTCGGATTTCTCCAATAACGTGGTGCGATGTGAAGTCATTTACACTGGCATTTACATCCAGACCAGAAACTGCATCATAACTGGGTGAGGAAATGTGATTTTAATAGTGCTGTCAAAACTTGATTAATAAAAGTTTGTATTTACATAAAATATTATTGTGTGTATATATAAATACAAACATGCATGTATATATTTAAAAAAAAATATTTGAATTTATATATAACATATTTATGTCAACAATTTATATCTAAAAATAAATAAGTACGCAAATAGCTTAGTTTTGAATATTTTTTGTATTTTATGTATGATTGTGTTTATATATACATAAAAAACATACACATTCATTCATTTTCTTGTCGGCTTAGTCCCTTTATTAATCCGGGGTCGCCACAGCAGAATGAACCGCCAACTTATCCAGCAAGTTTTTTACGCAGCGGATGCCCTTCCAGCCCCATTCCCATCTCTGGGAATATCCACACACACACACACACAAACACACACACACTCATACACTACGGACAGTTTAGTCTACCCAATTCACCTGTACCACATGTCTTTGGACTGTGGGGGAAACCGGAGCACCCGGAGGAAACCCACGCAAAGGCAGGGAGAACATGCAAACTCCACACAGAAACGCCAACTGAGCCGAGGTTCGACCCAGCGACCATCTTGCTGTGAGGCGACAGCACTACCTACTGCGCCACTGCCTCACCCACAATACACACATATACTTTGTAAATAATCAATATGTGCATATTTGATTTCATATTTATATGTGGCTTTGGAAAGTATTCAGACCCCCTAAAATTTCCAGTCTTTGTTATGTTTTATCCGTTTGCTAAAATCATTTAAGTAATTTTTTCCTCATTAATGTCCACACAGCAGCCCGTATTGACAGAATAACACAGAATTGGTGACAGTTTTGCAGATTTATTAAAAAAGAAAAACTGAAATATCACATGGTGCGAAGTATTCAGACCCTTTGCTGTAACACTCATATATTTAAGTCAGGTGCTGTCCATTTCTTCGGATCATCCTTGAGATAGTTCTACACCTTCGTTTGAGTCCGGCCACACACCTGTCTATATAAGACCTTACGGCTCACAATGCTTGCCGGAGCAGTTGAGAATCATGAGGTCAGAGGAACCGCCTGAAGAGCTCAGAGACACAATTGTGGCAAGGCACAGATCTGGGCAAGTCTACAAAAACATTTCTGCTGCACTGGAAGTTCCTCAGAGCACAGTGGCCTCCATAATCCTGTTGATGTTTGGGATGAGCAGAAACCTTACTGGAGCTGGCTGTCCGGTCAAACTAAGCTATAAGGGAAGAAGAGCCTTGGTGAAAGAGGTAATGAAGAACCCAAAGATCACTGTGGCTGAGCTCCAGAGATGCAGTCAGGAGAGGGGAGAAAGTTGAAGAAAGTCAACAATCTCTGCAGCCGGAGTCTGAGCTTTATGGCAGAGTGGCCCAGCGGAAAGGCACATGCAAGCCTGCACGAAGGACTCCTCTCTGGTGAGAGATAAGATTCTCTGGTCTGATGAGACCAAGATAGAACTTTTTGTCCTTATTTCTAAGCGGTATGTGTAGAGAAAACCTGGCACTGCTCATCTCCTGTCCAATACAGGCCCAACAGTGAAGCATGGTGGTGGCAGCATCATACTGTGAGGTGGTTTTAGCTGCAGGGACAGGACGACTGCTTGCAGTTGAGGGAAAAGATGAATGTGGCCAAGTACAGGGATATACTGGACTAAAACCTTCTCCAGAGTGCTCAGAACCTCAGAATGGACCTCAGGTTTACCTTCCAACAAGACAATGACCCTGAACCAAGCGGCAACCTCCCGCTCTCTCTCGGGAGGCCAATACGGAAGTAACTGAAACTGCAATTCATCAAAATTCTGCTAGTCCTGGCTCCATAACAGAGCAAAAATTGTGCCCACTGTTAGAATGGCCAACTTTACAGCAGAAAAAAAGGTGTTTACAGCCTGGTACAAAGAACCATTTTGGTTTATAAAGCTAATATTACCCTTCATGACAACTGTGAGGGGGGTGAATTTTTTTATAACTCATCAGTTTCCTTTATATTAGGTTATATTAAGCTTGCATAATTAAGGGTGTGGCCACTTGATTGACAGCTAGGTCTCGCTGTCGCTGTCTCTTCACCTCAGCTGACTCCAGCAGATTAGTCACTGATTTCGGCATATTCATCATATTTTTGTTTTGTTTTATGTGGCTTTACACAGTCAGTTTCCTTTTGGGATTATTTCCTACAATTATCAGATGATATGGGATGCTGTGTGCACTTAATTGTGCTCACAAACCATTCACGTGGCCTCCATTTCCCATGTGAGTAAAGTTATATACTTGTAAACCATCTCTATACATGTATTTGTTTTATTTAAGATCATTTATCATTTATAATGTTCTTTAGAGCTGTAATGCACTCCAGAATCTGTCAGATTGATTAGCTGTAGGCTCTAGAATAGTCATCTGAAGTGTTGTCATACAGTGTTATGCTGGATTTCATCAATAGTCTTGCATTTACTAACAAAGACTATATCTGAAGTGTTTGGAAGTAATTCGTATTTTCCTGCTGTAGGAAAACATAATAAGAACAATGTTTAGTAGCTCAATGTATTACAGCAGTGTTTTTAAAAGTCTAAACACTTTATTGTGTACAGCCAAGCACAAGTGGCTAGAACACAAACGAGTCGCAGGTGATGAAGTATTAAGCGTTTTCCCAAAGTAAAGTCTGTCTAAGCCAGGTCCAAGCAAAATGCCAGCATGCATCTGTAGCTCCACTAACTCTCCGCCTCTTTGCCCTTGTTTGGTATCCCGTCGTGGGTGTGATGACGAGCGAACAAAATGGCGACGGTTGGCCGCGCCTACTTGTGGCTTCTTTTGCGCTCTTCAGAAACCTATGGGTGACGTCACGGATACTACGTCCATATGTTTTACAGTCTATGCCCTAAACACACAGCTAAAATAACTAAAGACTGGCTTCACAACAACTCCGTGACTGTTTTTGAATGACCCCGCCAGACCAATGACCTAAACCCAATTGAGAACCTAAAAATGGCTGTCCACCAACGTTTACCATCCAACCTGACAGAACTGGAGAGGATCTGCAAGGAGGAATGGCAGACGATCCCCTAATCCAGGTGTGAAAAACTTGTTGCATCTTTGCCTGAAAGACTCACGGCTGTGTTAGATCAAACGGTGCTTCTGCTAAACTCTGAGCAAAGGGTCTGAACACTGAGGATCATGTGATATTTCAGTTTTTCTTTTTAATAAATCTGCAAAGATGTCAACAATTCTGTGTTATTCTGTCAATATGGGCTGCTGCGTCACACCTGCCAACAGTCGAATCATAAAATCCGGGAGATTTTGTCCGGGGATGCGTGCGAAGTGAAGAGCGGGGGGAGGGGGGCGTTGCGCAAAATAAAGAGCCGGGGGTGAATGTATATGTATAGTTAACGTCAGAATTATTAGCCCCCCTTTGAACTCTTTTTTCTTTTTAAATATTTCCCAAATATAACCCTGCTGGAAAATCCAGCCTAAACCAGCCTAGGCTGGTTGGCTGGTTTTAGCTGGTTGAACAGCCTGGATTTAGAGGGGTTTTGGCCATTTCCAGGCTGGTTTCCAGCCATTTCCAGCCTGGTTTTTGCTGATCTGGCTGGAAAATGACCAGCTAAATCCAGCTAAAACCAGTCTGACCAGCCTGGTTTAAGCTGGACATAGCTGGTTTTGGCTGGACTCCCAGCTTGGCTTGGCTGGTCAAGCTGGTTTTAGCTGGTTTTAGGCTGAAAATGGCTGGAAACCAGCCTGGAAGTGGCCAAAACCCCTCTAAAACCAGCCTGGTCAACCAGCTAAAACCAGCCAACCAACCTAGGCTGGTTTAAGCTGTTTTTTTTCAGTAGGGAAAAAAATAAATGGGGGTTATTATTCAGGGGAGCTAGTAATTCTGACCTCAACTGTATGTTTATATATGTATACATAATAAATTACATAGTTGAAGTCAGAATTATTAGCCCCCCTTTGAATTTTTTTTTTTTATATTTCCCAAATGATGTTTAACAGAGCAAAGAAATTTTCACAGTATGTCTGATAATATTTTGTCTTCTGGAGAAAGTCTAATTTGTTTTGTTTCAGCTAGAATAAAAGCAGTTTTAAAATTTTTAAACAGAATTTGGAGGACAATATTATTAGCCCCTTTAAGCTAATTGTTTTTCTTGATAGTCTACTGAACAAACCACTGTTGTACAATAACTTGCCTAATTATCCTAACCTGCCTAGTTAACCTAATTAACCTAGTTAAATGTCACTTAAAGCTGTATAGAAGTGTCTTGAAAAATATCTAGTCAAATATTATTTACTGTCATCATGGCAAAAATAAAATAAATCAGTTATTAGAGATGAGTTATTAAAACTATTATGATTAGAAATGTGTTAAAAACAATCTGCTCTCTGTTATACAGAAAGCAGGGGGGGGAAACGGGGGCTAATAATTCAGGGGGGCTAATAATTCTGACTTCTTCTTTATATATACACACACAGTACACACATTATGTAAATAGAAACTTTTATTTTGTATTTAAGTAAACGGTTTGACAGCACTAGTTTTGAGTTATTTCAGCACTTTAATATTTCATGAGCAGACTGATATTCATCTAAATGCATTTCTCTCTCTTTCTGTTTCCACAGGAGTTAAAGTCTTCAGACTAACAAGTTGTTCTAAAGACCTATAAAATAGGTTTACTTATAATAATTTGATAGATTTTTTATATGCAATTTTTGGGATAACTTGAACCATTCAATATAGCTGTTGGAATAATATGTAATGACTAAAGTACTGTATATGTGTTTTAAATGGCTTCATGCGAACGTTTGCATTAGACGGTTATTTTTGCATATTTTTTTAAATGAAGAGCTTTTTAGTGTTTGTATTTATTACATTTGTACTATTATTATTATTAATGATTGCAACGTTTCTTTTAAGCAGAGGGTTGTTTGGTGCTTTATTAGCTGATGGTGAATATTGTGTTTACCACTAGTGTCAGATATAGACACGGCGTTTGGTTCTGCAGCAGTCAGTGGATATCATCTGGAGTATTATACTGACGTTGTGTGTGTTTGCCATGATTATAATGATGCCTCCGTGAATGCTGGAGCTGATGGACGAGGCCAGTTGTGGCTTGAGATGCAATAAACAGAAATGCAGAGAATGTAATGCTGGAAGTGGAGTGTGTTTCTTTTCTAAACTCTTCCAAGCTCTCGGGTTCATGCAGTGCAGAGGAGCTGAAGTCAAGAGCTGTGCTGTGTGGGTGTGTTTGTGTGTGTGTGTGTTTGAGTCTGTTTCTTTTCTGTTTTCGTGTTTGTTTGTTTCTGTTAGTGTGTATTGTAATGTGTGTTTTATATAGCGCATTTATTGTGTATGGCCAAATCAATGACTCAAATCGCTTTACAGTCATGAGGGGGTCTCTTCACACCACCACCAGTGTGCAACACCCACTAGGACGATGCGACGACAGCCACAGGACAACGGCGCCAGTGCGCTCACCACACACCCTCTGTTGGTGGAGTGGAGAGTGATAGAGCCATTTCGGTGGATGGGGATGATTGGGTGGTCATAATCGGTAAGGGCAGATGGTGGGAATTTTGGCCAGGGTTACACCCTTTACTCTTTACCAGAAGTGCCATGGGATTTTTAATGACCACAGAGAGTCAGGACCTCGGTTTAACATCAAAGACGGATCTCACTGACAGTATGGTGTCCCCTTCACTATACTGGGGCATTGGGACTCACACAGACCGCAGGTTGAGGGCCCCCTGCTGGCCTCACTAACACCACTTCCGGCAGCAACCGAGCTTTCCCAGGTGGTTTCCCATACACATTCTGACCAGGCTCAGCCCTGCTTAGCTGTAGTGAGTAATCAGTGTTGGGCTGCAGGGTGATATGGCCAACCCGGGCTCATTGTGGAAACGTAGTCCCGCGGACATTTTCTGGAGACCGCGGAATACGTCCCGGCGGGTACATACGGCTGCAGTTTTTGTTTTTCGCGAATCCGCGAGAGGCCGCTGTTGCGTGCTTTTTCGCACCTCAGATGCCTCTCACGAGCGCGGTTCGCGCCCGCTTTGTTTTCGTGTGAACCTGCCGGAGGCCTCTGTCCGACTGACCGGATGATTGACTGCGCGACCGGCCAATCGGCCGACCCGCCCTCCTCCTTCCCCGAACCCAACCAATTTTACCGATCGACCCGCCCGCCTGCTCGCCCGCTCACTTCCCTAAACCCGAGCGACAGTTTACAAAAGCCGTCCAAAAAAATAAAAGCCCCGATTTTTTTTTTTCTACCGCGTTTTTGAATTTCGCCGTGTTCTCACCCTGTCACGAAACTCGTTCACTTAATTTTTGGGATTCTGTTTTCGTCTTACCTGATTGCTGGAACCGCTCTTCCCTGTACTCGAAACCGGTCGCCGTGGTCGACTCCTCTCCGCATCTCGAGCCTGCCGACGTTACAAGGTGAGCTGAGTGGACAAACGGGTTTCAGCAGGGAAGCCCTCCACAAGGAGGTAAGGCAAGCGCGAAAGGGAACGGCGTCACACCGCCCCGCAGCGTTCGCTTGAAAAAAATTAACGCGGCAGTACGTACCTCCCGGGACGTATTCCGCTGTCTCCAGAAACGTCCGCGGGGCCACATTATCAGAATGAGCTTGGGTTGGATATGGCTGTGGCATGTGTTTGTGTGTGTGGTTTTGCGTGTGTATGTTTGAGTCTGTGTCTGTTCTCCCCAGGCTGTGTGTATGTATGCAGTGCATGCAGTATTGATAGCGCTTCACTTTTTCCACGTTTTTATGTTCTGGTCTTATTCCAAAATGGATTAAATGTATTTATTTTCCTCGACATGTGTGTGTTTGTGTTTACTGTGCAGGAGAGGAGAAATTCCCCAGTCAAACTGCTTTGCTGGAAGTCTTGATGCTTCTGGTCTCCCTTGATAAACTCTTGTCTCTGTTAAACAGCTTTCAGGAAATATTTACGGTAGTCTGTTGCCTTCAGTGGTATATTCAGCTATTACTGTACACCATTAAAGTAAAAGTAAAAAATAAACCCTGATTTAAGCAGTCAGATATAGTGTGTGTGTGTGTGTGTGTGTGTGTGTGTGTGTGTGTACGTGTTGTTGTGACATATCAGGACACAAATCTGCATAATGAAATGGGAATGACACAGGTATTACAAAAAGGAGGTGAAATATGAGGACGTTGGTGACATCTTCATTTCTCAAAATGCTTATAAATCCTACAGGATGAGTTTAATCAGAGAGTAAAGCTGCACACAGTCTTCTGTGATGGTTGGGTTAAGGGGTAGTTTGGGGTTTGGACAGCATAAAATGAATGGAAACCTATGCAATGTCCCCACTTTTCACAAAAACAAACGTGTGTGTGTGTGTTTTGGGCAGGTCTGCAGACTGTTTACTCACACAGAGCTGTGAAGATCAGACGTCTAGCAGACTGACTGACTGAAACTCTGTGCTCTGTGCCGGTTTTCTCACTCATTGTAAACAGCACAGAGGAAGACAAACAGTTTATAATTATTATCATTACTACTCCACTGCCTTTTTCATGTCACCGTACAGACTTACAGCATAGGCCGTAGACATATAAGCTGCGTCTCAAATGGCACACTATACACTATGCACTCATGCACTATGTACTTATGCACTTACACACTCAGCAGGATAGTATATGTATGTAGTGTTGTCCCAAATGGCATACTTGGTTTTTTTACCAAGCGGAGATTCAAACCGTTTCCCTGATGACGTTTGATGGTCGCCAAATCAGTGAAATAAATGACCAAACAATCAAATAATGCCTGCCATGAGTAGAACCGCATTCACCATCGGGAGGCGCTATAATCACTCTCGTAGGAGAATTTTGCTTTCACCATCCAAAATAAATGAAGTTATTCAACATGTGCACCCGATAGCTCCGCCCCTTCCGGTACGTGAGCAAACCTACGGTCGTTGAATGCGTGAAGTGTCCATCATTACACACTTCATTTTAGCAGCTGAATGAGTGCATCATCCGGGTAATTAAAGTGCACTTATTATTTTTAGAGTTTTCAGTGTGAACACACTACTTACACTATTTATACTACAAAATAGCATAGAATAGTGCATAAGTATGCGATTTGAGATGCAGCTATAGACTAGAACACTATACAGTGTTCATTCAGCAGCAAACATCTGAACACAAGCTGCACTCATAAAGCCTGGGGAAATATCTCTATTTTGCTTAGCAGGAAAATGACAGTAAATCAACAAAATGATGCAATATTAGTCTCATTTAGATGAGCGGTTTTAATTTCAATATGTTGTAGTGTCATTTATTCCTGGGATTCAAAGCTGAGTTTTCAGCATCAATCAGTGTCCTTCAGAAATCAGTCAAATATAATGATCTGATGACCCAGAAATATTTATTAAGTCAAACTTGTTTCCAGTGCATGTTGTACTTTGGAAGGGCTGCCCCTTGTCACCAATTCTGTTCATAATTTACATGGACAGAATTTCAAAGTGCAGCCTTGGCCTGGAGGGGGTCTGATTCGGGGACCACAGGATTTCATCTCTGTTATTCGCAGAAGATGTTGTTCTGTTGGCTTCTTCAAACATGGTCTTTAAGCGTGCACTGGGGCGGTTTGCTGCCGAGTGTAACCAGGCTGGAATGAGAATCAGCACCTCCATGTTCGAGGACATGGTGCTCCACCGGAAATAAGGTAGTTTGCCATCTCCAGGTTGGAGGAAAGTCCTTACCCCAGGTGGAGGAGTTCAAGTATCTTGGTGTTTTGTTCACAAGTGAGGGAAGGATGTAGCGTGAGATTGACAGGCAGATTGGTGCAGTGGCAGCAGTGATGTGGTCGATGTACCGCTCTGTTGTGGTGAAAAAGGAGCTGAGCGGAAAGCAAAGCTCTCGATTTACCAGTCAATCTACGTTCCTAATCTCACCTAGGGTCATGATTTTTGGATCATGACCGAAATGACAAGATCTCGGAGACAAGCGGCCGAAATGAGTTTCCTTCAAAGAGTGTCAGGGCGCACTCTTATGGATAGGGTGAAGAGCTCTGACACCTGGGAGGAGCTCGGCGTAGAGCTGCTGCTCATCCACATCGAGAGAAGTCAGCTGAGGTGGCTTGGGCATGTTTCGGATGCCTACCTAGGGAGGTTTTCCAGGTATGTCACACCAGGAGGAGGCCTCAGGGAAGACCCAGGACAAGCTGGAGGGACAATTTATCTCGGCTGGCCTGGGAACGCCTCAGGATCTTCCTAGAGGAGCTGAAGAAAGTTCCTGGAGAGAGGGAAATCTGGATTTCTCTTTTAAGACTGCTGCCCCCTCGACCCGGCCCTGGAAAAGCGGTAAAAAATGTATGGATGAACATTTTTGGGCATAATAATCATGAAAATAATGACAAAAGAAACAATGCATAATGCATCAATTTTATGGCCAGAATTCTGATTTATATTCAAACAATGAGAAATAAAAAAGAACTGCACTGTAAAAAGTGATTAGTTGACTTTACTTAAAAAAGAGAGTAAACTCGTTGCCTTATAACTATTAAATAAACAAATTACGTGCGAAATTAATAAAAGTTAAGGTTTACTGAATATATTTAAGTAAAATCAACTTGTTGCTTATGTGGTAAAGGGTTTACTCTCTTTTTAAAGTGAAGTAACTCATTGCTTTTTACAGTGTGGGATTTCATTGAAGGTTTTATAAACACCCATTATAAAACTCGACTTTTATAAGAGGAACATGTTGCATTTCTCATTAAAAAGCTGCTTTCAGTAAATGAGCGTCTTCAACAGCTCTTTATTCAGCAACAAACCCTGCTCTATTGAGCGATAGAGACAGTAAATAATATTAAGTCCTTAAAACAGTCCAGAAACACAGAGAGCGAGTCCTGAATGAGAGTCAATATTAGAGCACAGAGGAAATGGCCTTTTCCAGACACATTCAAAAACACCGAAAATCTGTTCTGGCTGCATTTCAGCTTTATATTAGTGCCAGAATAAACGCCACACTCTCATTTAACATCAGCTGCTTCTCTCAGAGTCTGAACCATGTCCTGATGGAGTTTATTTTTGATTTAAAACATTAATTCAGTCAATATGACATGAGACACTGTAACAATATCTGTGAATAAACAGTTTCCGTATCTTGTGGATCACAAGTCTTTGTTTAT